TGCAGCAAGTCACAGCCTTGTGTCCCTCTCAAGCTCCGAATGCTCCCTAACCAGCCTTGTGTCCTCGCTTCCACACAAGTAACTGCCAAACTCGCTGCAGAACAGGGGAGAACACACAAAGACCCACGGTTACTTCTCCTGCTTCATGAGCAGATGTGTAACCCAGGACTGACTGACCATTTTCTGCTGTCCCTTTCTGGAGAGGTGGCCTCACCCCAGGCCCCACTGCCGGGCTCCTCCTGTGGCAGCAGTCAAAGCCACACACTACCACAGCCCCCACCAGCCCTCTCCTGCTCCTCCTCAGCCAGACCCATCTCCTCCCCTCTGTAGCTGGGGCACAGGGTAAGCTCACCACAGCTAAGCCGAGCAGGGTGCTGCTAGAAACACCACACCAGCCCGCAGCAGAGCAAGCTGTGCCGTTTCTTAAACCCCAGGTCGAGGCATCACAGCACACACTGCGCTACAGCCCAGGCTATCCCAGCTTCCACGCGCCCAACTGCCCATGCAGAGCATCATGAGAGCACACGTGTCGTGGAAACCCCTCGAGCTGCCAGCAGCGCATGAGAAAGGAGGGGGATTAACACGAATACACCAAACGGGTCTGTAATGCAGGAGGCTGAGAGCAGGGTTAGAGAGTAGGTCTCGGGTCTCAGCACTTCCAGACAGTGAAGAACGGGGGTTTCATGCAGGGTGAATGGGGTGGACGAGAGACCAACACACCCAGGCACCTACTCACTGTTTCGGATAAGCCTTACTAAAACTCTAATACCTGATGCGATCACTGACCAACATGACAACTGCTATTCTTCAGAGTCTCCTGCGGAGATGCTTGGGGCTGCACGGACAGGGGAGTGAAGGTCATCTCATACCTTCCTGTACAGGGAGAGAGGCAGCTCCTACACCATAAGCAAGTTCCTGCTCCACACCTATCCACGTCTGCCCCTCGGTGTGGGACAACACGCTCACTTGCATAAATCTTCATATCTTTTGGCCAAGACCATAGCCCAGTAGAACAAGCTGCTGCCAGTTACAAAAGAGGAAAATACTGAACAAACTGGGAGGTTCAAGAGAGGAAAAGCTGGTTCAGAGAAGACAGATTTAGTGTAAAAATAAATGTCATTTTTGCAGGAGGGAGGGTGGAATGGAGGAAGACGGTGCCAGGTGCTCCTACTGGCGCACTTTCCCTGGGACGTAATTCCTATCGATAGTCTCCTCTTGCAGGAACATATGTAAGCAGCGCTCGTTCTGTGCCAGTGGGTGTCCAGCAATTCTGGAAGAAAATCAGATGTGGAGGTTAGCACAGCCTCCACTGAGACCCCCACACCTCCATCCTCTGCAGGGAGTGCGCACAGCAGATCTCCTCGCTGATGGGCAGCCGGCTGCAAGCACAACCCCTCCGCGCTCAGGCCGAGGTCACCAGATCGCAGGTCACCAGACAACAGGGCCAGCAAGAGGTGCTTGAGCACAGGCTGTTCCTTCCCTCCCACACCACACCCTGCAGCAGGGCACGAGCATCCCGAACAAACACTACCCTGTCAGTGGGTCTCTGCAGCTCAGCTGTTCTGCCAGGACTTGCTTCTCTCTCAGAAGAGAGCGCTGAATACAACCCACACTCCAGGCAGGACTTGCTTCAGAGCCGCGGCTTCGTTACCTGGCTGCAGGCACCATCCTTTAGCATTTCACCTGCGTGCAGCACACCAAGACTCCCTCCCAGCCAACCCACAGCCCTCTTCTACCAGCAGCAGCCGGGAAGGCTGCACACAGCAAACCCAGGACATCAAGCTTACTTGTTAATAAACTGTTCTAGTCCCTGTCTCCGCTCCTCAATGAAGGACTCCTCAAAGATGCCTTCATCTCCTCGGAAGGGCAGCTGTCGTTTCAAAGCTTTTCCAGGCAGCGGTGGCACTACAATCTGAAAGCAGAGAATCACCCTGTCAGCAGAACAGCCACCTGCAAGCAGGCATCCTTTGCCATTTGTCACTCATCTCCAGCCCCAATACATGGATACAGATCAAGCCCCAACAGCTGCCCACCAGCACAGTCTCTCTTCTGGGCAGCTCAAGATTATCACTACAACTGTTCCCATATGTCCTGGTTTCAGGAATGGGCAGGTCTGAGCCAGGCCTCACCTTACTGTCACGTTCCAGCTCATTCTTCAGCCACTCAAAGTCGCTGTATCGTCTCCTCACACACGACTCCTTCAATTTGAAGATTGGGAGGTTTGTCTGTAACGAAGAGCAGTAGTTAATCTGCAGGTTGCTTTGGAAGCCAGACAGTATTTCAACACATAATTGAAACCTGAAGCTGCATTTAGAAAACCGAGCCTCCTGAGAGAGCAGCATCACGAGAACACCCAGCTTCTTAATTCAGGACAGAGCACAAGCATCGAAGCCCTTCAGAATCAAGCAAGCACTTGCCAGGCTACTCAGAACCAGCCATTCCCTCCCCCTCAAGTGACTATTTCAGGAACCCTCCCAGGGGCAGGCGCTGGAACCAGGGCTCACAACACACACAGGCTGATGTATGTATTTTTTTCTCCTGAGTTCACTCCATTTTGCAGTGATCTACGAGAGAGCTTCACAGCAGCCTGCAGAGCAAAATAACCTCTGACCAGACACTGGCATTTCCATGGAAGAACTAAGGGAGGAAATCTTGTCCCAGCAACAGTTCAAGGCCAGATCTCGTGCTACAGTCTTCTCTCAGAACAGATTGCAAACCCTAACAGGCGAGCAGCTTTTTCATATCTGGTTCGTGTCACTGGAGGAACGTGCAGATAGTCCCTGCTCTTCTCCCCTGCCACTAGAGTCCAAAGACTGACAGCTACAGCTCCTTCACCTTTACCCCATCAATGATCAATGTAGCCTGAAACATTCAAGGAACTGAGGCAGCAAAACCTTCTGACAAGCAGCACCCAGATGAACACAGGTATTGCTGCAACATGTTTAACTGTATTCCTATGAGGCCTGCAAAATAAAACCAGCTGCTTTCAAAGCACCTCTGCAAGAGCTAGTTTCAGTGGGACTAAGGAGTTCTCATTACCACCTGCCAGGCATCCTTTGCAGGCTGATGGAAACCAAGGGTCAGGGCAGAAGAAAGCAAACACCCGATTCCTTTGAAGGGCAGTAGAGATGTAGCAGTGAAATGATGCTGTGAGCAAAAGTCAACACCAGCACCGTAACATATAAAGGGAGCTTGTTATAGGGGAAGCTCAATTTTACTTCCTTCAGCTCTCAGATGGAGAGCCGTGAAGAGGTCCCCAGTGGGGCTTTGTTAAGTGAAAAGAACTCTGCCACAAACCGCTACACAGGCTGCTGGATCAGGGGCTCTTGGCAAAGTGATCAAGCTGACTCAGAAGCGGCAGCTAAACTGCACTGTGATCAGACCCTGACACTGCTAGCGAGCTCTCCTCCTCCCCTGCTAGAGATAACCAGCTGCACACAGCCGTGCCCTGCTCAGCAACCACCCAGCGGTGCCCAAGCGCCAGGCCCGGGGCTCTGGAGAGGCGGCAGGAGCCTGCTGAGGCTGCGCTCTCCTTGCCCTTGTGCATTCCAGCCTCCACCGGCTGCCGAAGGGCCCCGGCAAACCCACCAGCTG